ATCACAATTCAGTGAGCTGTATGTATAAACTGAGTCCTCTTATTTAATTTAAAGTTTCTTTTTACATATTTCTACCTCTGTTCTTTTAAAGACACGTGCAGTTTGAATGGAGAAAACATTTAAATCTTTTAGACAAGATGAGATAGGCTGTTCAAAAATTACTTTTTAGTAATTTTAAAAATGCTGGCGTACATTCTGAGGCTGCTCATTCCTACTTCCATATCATACTTTCAGTCAGGGTAGTGTGACTGTGCATCTGCATGGTAAACTGCATCCAAAAATGATTCTGTGGAAAAAAAAAAAAAAATTAACTGCGAACAGTTCCTGAGGAAGGGGTTATTAAGGCTGAAAGAAAGGCCTATGAAATTATGACTGTGACTGGAAAATGTATTCAGGCATTCCATCTGAAAGACACTTTGCTCAGTCTGAAAGAGCACCAAATGCAGACTAAACAGGTTAGAGTCACTTGCTCCCAGATAATTGGATTATGTGATTAATTAAGCAACTTGAGGAGCAGAGATAGGTCTTCAAAGGGAGAGAGGTGACAAACCAATATGGAACAGAAGAATCGTCAGCTCTTGTGGAATTAGAGCAAGCTGTAGCTATAGTTGTGGCTAGAGTTAGTGTGGTTCAAAGGCTATTCCTATCATTGTTGCTTGAGTACTTACTCAACATACTGAGATTTCTTGCATAGTGTGTATTCCCTGAATTTTTTGGAATTACTTAGCTTTGACATAACAAATCTTTTCTGTCAGTGGGAAAAGTTATTAGAATCATCTCTTCTATCTATTGAAATTTTATTAGGCCTCCCTACTGGCTTGAAATGTAGAGGATCATTCAAAAATTGGGTCTCATTTGGGTTTTTTTATAAAAGAGTGGATTTTGTTAATTAGTAAAAATCATCTAATGAGCAGACCTATGGTAAAAAACACCTTCCTGTGTACCAATATTTTTTGTAGAAGAGACTGATTCTTCTCAGGTGTTGCAAGCATCTAGTCAGAACTCATCATCTCAATTTCCTTTGTGGTTAATGGAAAGGGAGAGAGAGATGAAATCCATCAGGTTACATTTCCATCCCTGCTGGTTTAGGATGAGATAAACTGGATTCTGAAGAAGAAACTGTCTCTTGGGTTATCAGAGGGAGCATAGGTCTATGTATGCACTAAGTATTTTCAGGCAGCTAAAGCTGTGGGAGGCAAATCCCACTGAATATGTCATTTCTTAAGGTCATTGTGTGGGCTGTGACATAAACTTTATGGTGTATGTTTCTTGTATAACTTTCATTTATATTTCAGCATGGCTGTTGTAATCAGGTAGCCTTGCTGGTTATATGAACAAGAAGTTCTCTTGGCTCCTCTGCATGCCGCACACATGGGAAATCTATAGCAAACTGTACGATTAGTGAAAAAAAAGGTTTTACTTTCCTCTATTAGCTTGTGAAACAGCTCAGATTAATTGCATGTCACCTTGTTTTTCACATGAAGAGGCAGAAATTAAGCATATTTTGTTATTCTTTCAAGTCAAATCATACAAATATTTTTGGAGTTTCTTTCTCTGCTAACTTTTGTGAGAGTCCTCCTTTTGCCTACCAAAATCTTACTGTTCTGCAATTATACTAAGAAACACAGTATTACAAGCTTGAACAGTACAATAGGTTTTTATAATAGCTTTGGAATATTTTTCCTGTTATTTTCCATCTCTTACGTATGCAAACAAGGTGTTAGCTGTTATGATCAGTGATACCAACTGAGCAAATGTTTTCCTTGAGCTTTCCATGCTGATGCACAGGTATGGCTTTTGTTTTTCCTGAGCTGATAACAGCTCACTTTACCCCTACCATCGAGCTGTTTGAATTAATCCCTTTTGTGTGCATTGCTTTGCATTTGTTAGCATCTAAGGGTATTCATTGCTGATGTTGAATCACTGGTAGCTCCCATACATGGAACAGTAGATATTGCAGATGCTAGAATGCATGGCAAAGAATGACCAAAACTGCTAAAGGGCTGCCACTCTAGCTCCTCAAGAGAACTAGGCAGAGTCTTGTGCCTGTTTCCTGTGTTGGAGGAATGTCAGCATAGTTCTGGTTTCATTTCAGTCAGGCATTTATCTTAATACCTACACATGAGAAGACTATATTCATTCTGCCTTTTGACAACTTCAGTGTGGTCTCTTAAGACCTTCTGCTGTCCTGAGTTACTTAGGATAAGGAAACTTTCGGATTTGATTCAAAACAGTGCTTAACTTAAACCCCATCCTGGCTTCTGCCCTGTTTTTTTCCAAGTGATTCTAAACCAAAGAAGGGTGCTTGGCTGCACACCATGTTGTAGTTCCACTGAGATTTGGGGGTTTCAGATGCTTAAAGAGCAATTTAGGGTGCTTTGCTGAGAGCATAGATTAAAGTAGTGTTATAAGCAAACAGTGCTGTTCAGGTTCACAGAAGGCTGAGAAATTTTGCAAAACAATGTATATATATTTGCAGTGAAATTCACATATTTTTATACAAATACTTCCATGAAAATCCAAATTAGATCTCAAAATGAGACACTGATGTTTTGTTTATAGCATCTTTCACCATTCATATTTGCCTTCAGTTCTGATATTTTATTCCTTCAGCATGACACAGACATTATTTTTCCCACATTCCATATGTCCAAATCACATATAAAGATATTTAGTTCAAATACCATGGGTGTGAAACATTCCACACTGTGGGTCCAGGGTGGCGTTTGGCGTGTCTTTAATGTGCTATGGTGTTCAATTACAATACAGCAAATTTATTTTTATGCAGCCTTCTTCATTGAAAGTATGGAAAATTGCTTTGCAGTGAGTCATCTGACAGCTAAAGAACTAGAAGTCTGTAGTGATATTTAAAGAGAAAGTGGCTCAGAGCTGCCAGAGTTCAAGACAGAAAAAGAAACAGAAATTAAAGAGAGAGCCTCCAACCATGTGAAAAATAGCAACAAAGACTGGTTAGGGGGAGGAGTGATGAGAAAGCCAAACATGCTGAGAATGTCTGAGACAGTTCAGGAGATTTTGCATATCATTCTGAAACAAGCATTAGGCATCAGATGTTTCTCCTGTATCACACCTGCCTTAGCCAAGCAAGGTGGCTTTGACCCTAAAAGAATGGTGCAAATCTAGATAAAGAAGAGTACAAGACTGTACTGTAAGGAATCTAGAAGCATGCAGGTAGGGGTTGAGGGGAGGATAAATGTCTTAACTTTCTAGAGCAAAACATTGGAATGTGGTGTTTTCACCTTGTCTGAATGCCAGCACCCACCAAAGCCATTCTATTACTGTCTTCCTCAGCTGGACAGAAGATAGAAAAATTTAGTAAGGGCTCACGAGATAAGGGCAAGGAGAGATCACTCACTGATTTCTGTCATGGTCAAAACAGACTCAACTTGGGGAAACTAGTTGAATTTATTACCAATCAAAACTAGAGCAGGATAGTGAAAAGTAAAATCAAATCTTAAGAGCACCTTTCTGTTCTCCCCCCCTACAACCCCCATCTTCCCAGGCTTAACTTTATTTCCAGTCCTCTACTTCCTCCCCACCAGCAGTGCAATGAGATGGGGAGTAAGGCTCTTCATCTCCTCAGAGAAAGGAGTCCTTCCCCTTCTCCAGCATGGAGTTCATCCCATGGGAGACAGTCCTGCAGCACGAGTCCTTCCCACAGAAAGCAGGGGAATCTGCTTTGGCATCTGGAGCACTGCCTTCTCCAATGACCTTGGTGTTTTATCCCCTTCTTAAGTGTATGTTATACGTACATACATGCATGGTGTTACTACCATCACTGATGACTCAACCTTGGCCAGCAACATCTTGGAGCTGTCTGACACTGGATCTGCTGGACATAGAGGAAGCTTCTGGTAACTTTTCAGCTTTTCACTGAAGTCATCCCTGTAGCCCCTGTCACCAAAATCTTTTCCTGCAAACTCAATACATAGAAGAAAACTGGCATTCTTCAATCCATGATGCTTAAATGTGTGAGGATTTTGTTAGACCATGAATGAGGGAATTACAGTTAGTAGACAGCAATTATTTTCAACATGAATATGGACTTCAGCAGCAGAGCACTCAGAGGAAAGATGGGTTTTGGCTTCTGGCTAAATCTTCCTTGGCTAGTGGTAGAGGGGCTAATCCTCAGAAGTGAGTGTGTGGGAGGAGCAATCAGTTCAGGGTCAGAGATAAAACTTGGGCTTTTTGTACAGGGATAAGATCTGAGTAAAGAAGTGCAAAAGCTGTCTTGAAGAGCAAGAGGGACTTATTTCCTGTGATATCTGAGACTTCTGAAGAATTAGGTAGTAAGGAAATTATAATGTAGCAAGGGAACAACAGAACCACACAGGCTGTTAAAGAGATTAGAGCTTACCAAGGTCACTCTTGCCTTGCACATTTTCCTATAAAGTTGATGTCCAAAACTGAGCAAGCAGTAAGATACCCCAAAGGAGAAGAATGTTTAAGGAGGATAAAAGAGATGACTCAGAAACAGATGTCTAGTGTTTTTAAAGGACAGCACTGTCATGAATGGATATCATCAATATAAACACTATCATCTTTCATTGTAAATTAGGTATATTCTTCTTGTGTTCTTGGTCAAGTCTATCAACGAGTGGTGTGGGACTCTTTGGGGAATTCTCTCGTGTCATGTTGCCCAGTCTGCCCAAACTATTTTTTGCTCTGGGGATTTTTTTGACCTCGCTCTCTATAGAACCATATTATCTGCCTTAAGAGAGTAAATGAGATGTAAAGTATGTAGCATGAAGGAGAATACAGTCTTTATTGAAAGCAGAAGGGGAAAAAAACTTGTCTTTTTAATGCATTCGGAAAAGTTGACTTTGACATTGTAGTACTGAAAGACACTGTAAGCATAAAAGTAAGGCTAGAGCCACTCAGGTATCCCAGAATTTGAAGGGTGTCATATTTCATTGTAGGCAGTTCTAAAATGCTTATTACAAATCTTATTTACAGCTCTCATGTCTCTTTTGAATCCACAGAAGAGGAATATCAAGGGCAAACCAAGAGAAAGCGAATTCGAAAGAAGAAACAAAAGAGCAGTTTACAAATCTCTAGTAATTTACATGGAGAACAAACAGATTTGGGAATGCAAGAGACTGTTGTTCAAGATAATTTACAGCTGCAGCAAACAGACGGTCCCAAAATAAGCAAAAACAAAAAGAGGAAAATGAAAAAGAAGCGACAGAAAGAAAAAAAGAGAGCAGCTGGCTTAGTAACAAAAACTACCAGTCTGGATTTTACATATCAGCCTGACAAAAACAACAAAGAAGAAGCAGCAGGCTTAAAAGACATAGGTGAAAAGGCAGATAGCATTCTGGACTTCCTGCAGGCAACACAACAAAACTATTTTGCTGACAGTATGTACCACTCTTTCTCCTTTCTTTTTGTGAGTATTTCCACGCAGGGGAAAATGGATATGCATTTATTACTGCGGTAAAATGGGACAAATCTGCTAAAGAAGTGTCCCTATGAAGAGAGACGTGAGAAGAAGTAAGGCATGTGAGTACCTAGTATTTGTCCCACTTTCTGGTGTGTACATAAATATGTAAGAATTCACATCAATAGAAAAAAACTGTGGTCCTCTGTCTTTAAAAATATACATTATGTTCCTTGCTCTTCTCTTAAACATTCCAATGCACTTGAGACAAGTGGTTAAAATTCTTTTCCCTCTGCAAGCAAATATCCAGAATGATTACTTGCTTTCAGAGAACTTCAAATAAGGGTAATTGCTATCTTAAACTATTTTCATGCTTAGTATCTCTGCACCAAACTACTTTTCAGAATGTTCTGCTTCCTAGGAGAAGATCTATTTGTGTTCTATAAGGAAATCTAGACAGACAGCATGTAGCAGAACAGGGAAGATACTATTGGCTCTGGGAAAGTATATTGGCATAAAATACTTGTGAACAAGATGAATGGCAATTAGTGCTCAATGCACATTCCCTAGTACTTTCTAAAGAATTGCATGGATATATCTCTAATAGCCTATCCAATGTTCACTGGTCACTGAGGAGCCGTATAGAGAATATTAAATAGCTTACCTACCTGTATTAGTCCATCTTAACGCAGAGCTGTCAGCTTCTAGTACCATAAAATCCATGTTTTGGTTATAGAATTACTGTAAAAAGCTTGTTAAGATGAGATCAGGGATTTCATGTTAACTTTTTCAAGATTTACACATAGAATTTTCTTTGCTTAATGTTAAATGTTCTTGCTGCATCAGGTCTCATCCTAAGCATGGCATTTGGAATCTATCCTAATTTTTGGCTAAGGTATTTCCATCACCAAAATTAAGAATTTTACTACTTCGCCATATGGCTAAGTAAATGCAAGCTAAGCTAGTTGCATTTGCTGTAGTGGAACTCCACAGTGACTGAACAAGATTGCAAATTTTTCAAGATCTGCTCTTAATATATGACCCAGAACAGAAACCTGATGAATTGTCCACAGCTATGTTGCTTGTTGATTTTTAAGGAAGATTGTTGTTGAATTTCCAGCTTTCCTGCAAGTCAAGTTCAGGTTTTGGCAGTTTTTGACAGACAGGCTCTAGTTTCAAACCAGCATATTGGAGTGTTGATCCAGTGAGGACCTTGGAATCCACAGAGAGGAATTCTTAGGTGAAAGGAATTTCATCTGTAGATGAGATATGACATCTGTAAATCAGAGTGTCACTAACTTTCTTATTAGGCAAGTCCCCAGTTATATATAGATCTGATATTATGCTGTTTGCCTTTTCTAGTTGAATGACTTTAACACTCTCTGTTTTTTTAGGTAAAATTGGAAGCCATTGCTTTTAGCTGCATTTTCAAATGACCACATTGGATTATACTTCTAGTGTATACATTAAAAATCTGACTGGGGAAAATTCTGTACTTCTCAGGTGTCTTCCTGGTAAAAAACAGAATTAAAGGGAGTCTGGTTAAAGGGACAGACAGTACAGTGTTACTGGAATGGAAGAATGAATTTATGGTTTAGTCCTGTATAAACAATTGTATTGGGTGTGGCTTAGCTGGAGTTCATTTGTGCACAGCAGCCCTCACAGTGCTTTGGAAAGGTGTTGATAACACACCAGAGTTTTGGCTACTGCTGGGCAATGCTGGCGTCTTATCAGCGCCATCTCTCCAACATTCCCCTCCATCAAGGGGCTGGGAATGGACAAGACCCTGGGAGAGGACACAACCAGGGCAGCTGACCCAAATTAGCCAAAGAGATATTCCATACCAGATGATGTCAGCCCAAATTTAAAAGCTAAGGGAGGGAAGAAGAACAGGGAGCACTCATTCTTTTACAGAGTTTGCCTTGAGAGCAGCCACTGCATGCCTGAAGCCATGCGTCCCAGGAAGTGGCTGAACATCGCTTGCTGGTGGAAAATAGAGAATAAACTTTTTTTCATCTTTAATTATGTGTGTGCAACTATCTGCTAGTTTTGGTTGGATTTTTTTGTGCTTTGGGTTTTTTTTTAGCAAACGGCCTTATTTCAACCTATGAGTTGCTTCTGATCTCATTTTCTCTGCCCTGTCCTTCTGGGGAATGATGGAGCATCTTGGTGGGCACCTGGCATCCAGCCGAGGTCAACCCATTACAACAGTGTAGTGTCTTGCATGCTGTAATACTTGCTTTTTAAATAAAAACATAAAGGTGCAGTACCAAAGTAATTGTTTGCCTCCAGAAGTGCTTTGCAGTAGTTCCACAGAATTGTTCCCTTTTCGACATGTGTGTGCAGTTTATAGTATCTAATGTGTAGGAAGCAAAAGCACAGTGCTTTGGCCACAGTACAGTTTCTTCTTCACACCTTTTTTCTCTGCTAACTTTGAAAATTTTATTCTTTTTGCATTTCTATCATTAGAATCCTATTGTCAGTTTTCCTTACTGATTTTTGTAGTATGTGCTTTACCATTGTTTTAATATTAAAAAAAATGTTTAACAAGCTACTCTTTAATACCTGATACTGGGTTGTCATTTGTACTGAAAAGGAAGATGCTGTCTTAGGAAAAAAAAATTAGAATTAGGACAATTCTCTGAGTTCACTGAATATTTTTAACATAGTTTTCTAACTGTTTTTGCAGAGAAATCAGAATGCAGAGATGCTGCTGTAAATTCAGCAACTGCCCAAGAGCTCTTACAATGTCTTGAATTTCGCACCATCTCTTCCTCAGATGTGACTCATCTGCATCGGCTGAAATCCCTTGTATTACTACAGGATATTGAGAGATTGAAGGATGCTTTGAAACAATTCCAGGAACAGTCTATGATGTCTCCTGGTAGGTGCTATTCAGTCATGTTCATACACTGATATTTTTGTGTGAATTAAAATTCACACCACTTTATTTTTATTTTTTTTTAATTAGGAAGCTGTAAATAATGATGTAATAGTAAATATGTGCTTATACAAGATATGCAAGCATAATCCCCATCAAAAATAAGTGAGATCCTTACTTCTCATTTGTTAACAATCAATACAGAAGCTTTTCTCACTTTGAAGCAACTACAGAATACAAGATGATTTGGGGATTTAAACCAATATTTTTAAAATCTGAAGTGTTTTAAGATTTAATTATATTTAAAGCATATTTTTAATACATTACCATGGTAGACTTTTCAAATTTCAGGATTTCAGGCCTCCAGCTAAGGGTTCATTTTGCCTGCATAAGAATCAATAAAACCCGTTATTTTATTTCTTCCTGGTCACCACATGGCCTCTTTAATGCACAGACTTTGCTAGCTAAATTTTGATTTACATTTTTGGTTTTGTTTAAGTTTCTAAAACATATTGTTGATAATGTAAAAATTAAAAGTTACTCTTTATAACAAATGATATTCTGAAGTCATTCATAAAAAGAAAAATTAATGTGTTACTAAATTTTTTCATGCCTGAGGCACAGGCTCCTTCTGTTTTCTATTATAACCCCTATAATTTTTGTAGAATCTCTTCTTGCACAGTTAAGAGTTCTTCATGTGAATGTAGTAGGATCAGCATGTAGTCCACATGAGATGATGATTCATTTTCCATGTAGTCTTCGTTTAAACAGTCATTGCTACTAGTCATTAGAACTTGTGTTGCAGCATCAGTCAAAAATCTACAAGATGTGCTGAATTTTCTTGCCTCTCAAAGAATTTAATCAGAGTTGAGAGCACTTGGCTACAGCATGAGAGAATCTCAACATTTTAGATTGTACTCTTAAGTCTTTTGAAGAGTAACTGCAGAAATGGTAGCAGTGTGGTAACACTGTAGTTAAGATCATTGCCATCCAAAGATTAACAACAGCATTCAAAGAAGAGACATCTGCTTGTAACTTCATTAAATAATTTACAGCATGATAATGGCTGGAGATCCTCATCAAGCCTGGAGTCTACTGAATGCTGTGTGTTGGTCAAAGAGAGAATTCCTGCCTGTGGAGTTCAGATCTGACACATTTTCAAAAGGATACTCTTACAGAAGTACATATGTATTCCTTTAAGGGTATGACAACCCTTAAGGTTCTGAAGGATGTGAAGTATCCACATATACATGAAATGAAATCCTTCTGTGCATTTCAAGCCTACAATCTCTGATCTTAATTTTAATCACATTATCTCATTGGATGTAATACACATGTGGAAACCAAGTGGAACTCAACAGGAATCATGAAAATGGTATTGTCCTTTATTGAATGAACTAATTCAGCTTTTCTTGATTAAATCCAAATGAAATTGACATGACAACATTCAGGATATTCTTTACAGGCTTATCTAACTTTTATACAATACAATACAGTTGGAGTTCTGTTGGGTTTTGCAGCCTCGAGACAAGTGTCTCTGTTTACTTTTGTACAGCAGAAATGTCAAAATGAAGAAAGAAAAACAGAAGCAAATTAAAACCCCTAATTTTCCAATGGATGTGTTCATCACTTGAAAAAGCAGAAGACAATTTTCTGTGTCATTTTTAAAATTCAATAATGTTGCTCTTGGTACAGCCTGGAATTGTTTCCTCTTCCAGTTGATTTTTTTTCCCTAGTAACTGCTGTCACTCTATGCTCAATTCTCATCTCATTCCAAGTTCACAGTGGTGTAACCACAGTAGTTTGTTTGATATTCATGAGGTACAAGAACAGAAGAAAGAGGAAAAATACATTCTTATAAATTATTAAAGGATAATTAAGCACCTGCTAGTCATTAATTTTTCTCAGCAGACTTTAAAAAATACATTCTATTTGTAATTTTGGAAATTCAGTGAATGCAAATACAATGCTCTGAAATTTTACTTTGAATTACACCTTTAATTGTACTCCTTTTTTTCCCCTACATTTGGCTCAAAATCAGGTCATCTTGTCCAGTGCAGGATTTTTAAATTTTAGTTTTCACTCCCAATGAGCAGGCGATAAAAGTTATTACAAAGAACTTTGTAATATAATACCTTTCTATAATAACAACTTGAATTTGTAAATACAACCTTTGTTATATTAACAAATTCAAGTTCTTGTTATAGAAAGACAAGTTAGGACAGTTCATGAAGGTAAAAATGTACAGTACATAATAGTAATCTAATTTTTTTATGACTTTGTCTTATTTTGTCTTTTCTCTCCTTGTCTTTTGATGGGGGTGCAAAGCACTAGAAGGAAAAGTCATTCCATATTAACATGATAAAAAAAAAACCTCCTTGATTTTAGGAAGGTTTATTATTTTTACAAAATAAACATTTTATTCCCTGTAGATCAAGAAACAGTATGTTAAGCCTGTTTACCATTTTTCCCATGGTCATGATTCTACTTAAGATGCCATTATCAAGAAAGTAAAGATGAGTGCTATATTTTGTTCAGTTGTATCTTTAATGCCAGGAAGGGAAGCATAAGAAAAAAATGAGAAGAGATGCATCTCTTCATATAAATGTACTTTCTCACTAGTAAAAGTTAACAAGTTATCCATACCATTCTGTCTTTTATTTCCTCATATATGGATGTTATGGTTTCATCCAACTTTCCACTGGGGTTACCAAGTCCCACTTGGCAAGCTTATGCCTGCTGATGATAAATGTGCTTTAGAATAAAGCCATGGGCTGCTCCAGGTTTGCAGATTGCAAATTCAAAACTGCTGGTTCAATACCGTGATTTGGTATTTCCTTTGCATCTCCTAGGCTGTTACTCAAATTGAAAATCACAATGCATCCAAAAGAAAAAAGAATCAAGAAATAAATTTCTCTTTTATCTTAAGCTCTTAGATCCCAATATTTGCAGTAATATAGAAGACAGTCCTAACAAGGGTGATGGTATGGTGTGATAAATTTTGGAGGAAAAAGAACTACTAAGGAGATTCGGACACAAAAATTATCAACAGTTGATATTATCTTGTAACTCTTCATTTAAATGAGAAAAAATACTTAAGAAATACATACTAAAATCTCTGTGGCTCAGAGGCCCTGGTTGTTCTGTTTAGCTGTCATCCTCCATCTACTTGTGTTGTACTTTGTTCTTCAAATACTCTGTCAAGTTGCCTTTGACCTTGTACGTGAATGATCAGACAAAGCTGAGGTTGGTCAAGAGTGTTCCTGTGAGCATGGTTATTTAGAGTGTCATTGTTCTCAGTCTGTAAAAGAGAACAAAATGCCCTATTACTAGTTCCATTTATTTGGTAGTCTTTAACAAAAAAGTTCTTACCTCTACCTCAAATCTTCTGTAAGTGCAGGGAAGAGAATGTTCAGAAGTCACATAGACATGGATTTGTCTTGGTGGGGGCTTTGCTGTTCTGTGTTAGGAAGTCCGTGGCCATTAGCAAAAGGAAGCCACAGACCTTCGTGATCCTCCACAGTGCAGTGGGCAAAGGGGAGGAGCTGAGACTGGAAATAATGCTCCCTTTGCAGGATGGAAACTAGCTTTGGAAATGGGAGCTACTTAATTCCCATTTCACATCAATTATTAAAGCATAGGTGATTGCCTAATTAAAAAAAGTCATTATCTCCTAATTTATGAACTCATTTATGAACTTCTGCTCATCAACTTCATTCTATTAACATTTTCTCTTTGTTGGTTAGTTTCAAATCTCAAACATACTCTTCCCTTGTTGCCTAGGAAATTATCACTTGTGGCAGAGCTAGAAGATTCTTTTAACTGCCTTTTTTTGAGAATTGTCATTTATATAAGTCTTCATTGCAGGAGGAGGTACATTTTGCAGACCAGAATTAATACAGTACTGTGTGCCAACAATGCAGAGGCTGGGTATACAGAGGCCTTAAATGATAAAATTTACACTTCTTGTTTTTTGGGTTTTTTTAATGAATGAGCATTCAAAGAAAATGAAATTTGAAAACAGTATTAGCATAATATTATATAATCATCTTAAATGTGATTGTTTTGTGATAAGTACTGCAGAAAATCCTATCATTAAAAATCAATGAAGTCACATAGATAATCTCTGAATTAAGATGGAAGTCGTAGCATTTTGAGGCTTTAATGCAGCTATCTGTACAATATGACTCATTCTCAACTGGGGCTTCTAGGTACTACTGTAAGTTAAATAATGATGTGTGAAATTACTCTCCAGACAGAAAGAAGCCTTGTCCATATGATCATGTAATTTCAATCTCATTTTTTCTGAATTATTGAATCATAACAAATAGGAAATTTCAAAGTGTATGAGCAAAATTGTGTCTCATACAAAAGACTGACCTCCTAAAATAAAATGCACCTGCTTGTATAGAAATTCATAGGCATTAGTCTTCAAGCTCCAGTATTTGCATTGGTTTTACTGAAATGTTAATATTGAATGGAAACAGATGTTCGCACAAGTCCTTTTCTTAGTGTTCAGAAATGTCATGGAAGTATTTCAGGAGGAATGTGTTTTTTTTGTTTCAGATCATGCCAAGGTAGCCACATCTCTGTTTCACTACTGGATTACAGATATCCTTCCTGTGAAGAACAGGAAATAAAGCCTTACCCCTGTGTCCATATGCGCATGATTAAAATTTAATATACAAACTCTTAACCAAGTAGCAGCTCTTCAGGAGGAGCAGTGTCAATACACATTCTACACCTTCAGCTAAATGAGTTACTTTCCTGTGTTACAGACTCCAGAAGACAATAAAGGTATAACTACAATGTGACTTTCGTGATGGGATGGTCAAGAGTATGGCCTGAGTCTTCAGCTGAATCAATATGTACATTTCACTTTAGGATAAGGGACTTTACTGGAATGGTTTCTATCTGGTATTTTATTTAAGAAATACAGTATTATCTTTTTTGGTTTTATCATTCCTTTCTGGAAGTTGTATTTCTTGACTTTTGTATATCTGCTTACCTGAAAAACAGAACTGTATTTTTTTATATTTAAACCAAAGCAACAGTATGTCTGAGGAATGTATTTTTGCTGAATAAACTGCTAAATTGTGGACATAGATATGTTTCTATATGTGGGTTATGTAGGTCCTGTTTGGAGTTGTGCAGAAGCTTGGATGGCATTTTCAGAACTACTTCATGGCTCAGCTTCATGCTTCATGGGTTTCACTAAGTTCAGAGTTATGGCACTGGGTTCTCTCTCCCTGGTTACTGTGTAATCTGTCTACAGCTGTGTAATAATTCTACAAGTATAGATACTACAGTAAGTAATATCCATGGTTGTAAAATGTTTAGAAATAATGAAGAAAAAAGTGCTTTGTGAGAGGCTCTTCTCTCAATCTATCATTCATCTGACAGGTGATACAGAACAAACCATATCTTATATCTAGGTGTGTTAGCTTTGTCATCAGTAAGAGAGGGGCAACGTATTTAACTTCTCCAACTTGTGCTTGGAGATACACTACTGATGAGACTATACAAATATCACATGGGTTTTTTTGCTTTGTTTTTTTTCTGTTTCATTATATTGCCTGATATATCCTGTTGTAAGGCATTGGTTTAGTGATGATCAAAATTTAATAAGATAAATTTAATAAGAATAAAATCATACCACTTTCTCATTAATTGAGGAAGTTAAAAGGCGTTTGGTAATACACCAAATGATTGCAGGTGCAGAAAAACCATTCTTATAGCTAAGGGAGCTAAGGCAGCGCTGAAGAACTTGAGTTTGGTCCGTATCTAGTAGGAAAGGTGTATAAACCGGACTTTGCAGAGGAGAAACTAGTAGTGTGTTCTTGAACTGTAGCTGTGACTTTTCACTGCAATCCTGTGTGCCTCAGTCCCACATCTGGAGAAAGAAGAAAACATCACTGAATGTGAAGATACCCTTCTCAACTGACTCAAGGGAAATTAATCACTTCATCCTCACTTTAAGGTTTGAATGTCACACAGTAAATGAGGCCTAGGAACTGCAAAAAAGGATGCACTCATTAGGTAAACATCATCTGTCCTAAGCACTGAATATGAAAAATATAAACGGTGTCATGTAATCAAACTTGAAACACAAGTATGAAAGAGATCAAATTAAGACTGCAAAAATAACTGTAGTGTCTGCATTTCCTGATACTTGAGTGACTGTGCTGAGGGAAGTTATAGGGCTGCTGCCTTGAGTAGACGCCAGGACCTGGCAATCCCTCCGCATTGTTCTCTGGATTCTTGGTTAGTGTACCTGGAGATCTGGATGTCAGTGTAGGTGACTCCAGTTTCCGTATTTCCATGTTCAGACAGTAGCAATGCTTAATAAGCACATACCTCAGGGACTCACACGCAACACACAGCTGAGTACACAGCCTTTTGATCCCTTGAACAGTGGGACAGCCAATCTTCCTATCCCTCCCTGCATCCTGGGCCCTCATGTCTGCTCTATGGCTCTCCTGCGCACCAGCTAGTCCAGCCTGGAACACTACCACATGTTCACACTCTCATCCCACAGGCACTCATGTACTCATGTCACAGTCTTGGTTATTGCTTTAATTTCTTTTACTTAATACTTCTCTTTCAGTCCTTGGTCATTTCTCATAATCATAGATTGGTTTGAGTTGGAAAGGACATAAAGATAATCAAAATCTAGCCCCCCTGCCATGGTCAGGGACACTTTCCACAAGACCAGATTGCTCAATATTAAAGTGATTTTTTAAAATTCTACAGGATTTTCAATAGCTGCATATAGATGAGCAGATTTTGATATCTTTGCCAAACAGGAATATTTTGACAGAATCACAAAATAGGTAAGATTGGAAAGGATCCCCACAATGGGATCATCTGGTCAGCCTCACTGCTAAAGCAGGGTAAAATTTTGTACTACTCCAGTAAGTACAATTCACAGGTCAAAAATGTACTTTGCTTGTACTTTGCAGGTAATAATGGATAAAAGATTACTTTTGGTCTCTTTTTTGTTCCCTCAGCTTTTACCTCTGTAAGAGCCTTATATTCGGTGCAGAAATCAGCTGGCCCCAGCTAAGCAAGCCCAGGAGCAGTTCCTGAGTGTAGCCAGTTAGTCAGTGATATCTGATGTCTTTGCAAATGACCTGTGATAGGAGCTGAATCTTACACTCACCAAACTTGCCACTGTTGCACTAACAGGGATTATGAAGAGGATAAAGTATGCTAAAGAGTTTAGAAAATTGGACCAAATTCAAGCAGATAAATTGTAGATTGTCGTAGATAAATGCAATTGCATAAGAGTATATTTGTTTCTGAAACAAACGTGCCAGACAACGGTGTGCTGAAGTGCAACACGCATGAAGGCACTTAAGAACAATGCACAAAAGAACACACCAGAAAGATCTAGTATAAAAGCAAAAGAAATGGACATTACTCATAAATTAAGTTAGGCAGTGTACTAAAAATGGCAAGGGTTCCATATTTGGCATTCTATTTGCAGTCAAAAAGATTTCATACATCACAATTTTAATATCTGGACTTTTCTGCACTGCTTCTCTAAAAGAAATGGTGCACAATCTCCTTACACCTTTTCATGTTGATTTGAGCAGTGGATCACAATGTGGCTGAGATATGAAAACTAAAAAAATTAATATCCACCAGTGAACACGGTTTTTCATTTCACTATACATGGCTCCTTCAGCATAGCAATGAAACATTTATCCTTTTAGATTCTCATACTAAACTTAAAAATGGCAAAGGAGATCACTTTGAATTCAGTTTACTTAATGTCCTGCATCATGTGGAATTACTGAAACATGGAAGAGTTTTTTAAGTGGATTTTGCATCAGAATACTTCTGGGTAAACTGTACATGCATTATTATTAGCATATTTCAAGGTTTAAAACTTACATGGACTCCAAGAGTAGAAAGAATTTAAGGATCAACTGGAAAGTAACCTGCGTGTTCATGGATTACCTTTCAAGTGTACATTATTGAACAGTGTGCAATAAGTAAGGAGCAGCAGCACAGTGGGAGAGAAATGTGCTCTGAGAGGCAGTGGTCCCTTACCAACATGTACAAGTAAGACCAAGAGGCTGAAGTCATTTGAGACATGCGTAGTAGTGGTTAAGCTGGTCACTGCACTTGTATGCAAGGGTATGAGTCAAATGAGTCAAAGCCATTATCTCTCTATATATAGGTATGTGTTTTATTCTTAAAATTGCCTGTAAGACCTTAATTTTTCTCCTTGTGGATATGTAATAAGGGAATCAATCTCTAATGTTACAGATTTTTACTGCTTTGTAATTGGTGCAATCTTTTAGGTAGTGCTTTACAATCATGTAGAGTTATAAATTCCTTAATGTGTTTTCTATGACAGCTGGCTTTTCTCTCCTGCACCAGTGTAGGGAGTTACTACTCAATAGGCTGAATGTCTGAAATTACATCTTGGGGAAAAACTAACTTCAAAAAAAAAACAAAAAAAAGCAAGGAAGGAAAAAACTGCTGAATGGCAGAAATTTTTTAAGTTGTCTTTCACCAAAGAAAACTTTTTTCACCTAGTAATATCATGTATATTATAAAACCAGTCCACAGAGTGGAAAGAGGTGTGTGTTGTGCATGTACAGTATGCTACACACTGGGCATAATAACAGACAGTAGTAGTGCAAAAGATGGCAATCTGCAGGATTGGGAAAATGTATTATATTTGATATTTAGGGAAACCTCAGGTTATAGCTATGCAGGTTTTGTAGTTAATTTCTTCAGCCCTGGACTGCTCGTAAGGAGGACTGTATTGCACGTGTTAATGCAGCTAATTAAACTTCACCCTTTACTGCTTTATCCTTTGCATTGCATCAGAGTAAATTTTGTTTGTTGTTTGAAACTGTTAGATGTATGCAGGCCTAAGGGGAGGGAGGGACATATGTATTTTAGAATAGCAGAAATTTAGATGCTGTATTTGTTTACTATCTCAGAATCTAGGAAAAAAACTTATATATACTATGATTATTTGAAACTGCATATGCACCATAGTGAAGGTCAAATATATAGCATTAATAAGGCTATTCTCGATGTTGAGTGCTTAACTTTGTATAATTAATAGTCTATAGTGATTTTAATGAGCTCCATACTCTGGTAAAGTGCATAAGCAAACTGTAGTTCTCTTTTATGTTATTACTGCAAGGCTACATCCTGTTTTAGGATACATAATGGACAAAAAAGAAGTGTAATCTAAGATTGAAGAGGAATACACAAAAACAGAAGGAGTTTTTCTTTTGCATCAACTCTAGACTGCTATAGGTTGTATCAAATAGGGGCCACATTTCTTTACTTTCAAGATCTTTGCCAGTCCTCTCCATCCCTCATTCAGTGCACAGATGATTCCTCCATCCCTGTCAGCCTCTGGTATTAATATATTTAATTATTCCATCACCCATTTGCCATACTTTAAGATTTACACATTTGTGCTTTTTCCCCACAGTGCTTTCCATAACTCTACAGTGCAATCTTTTCATTGTCTTCCTTTCCTTCTTGAAAGCTTTCTTTTGCTGTGATTCTTCTCAAAACCTTGGCCAAAACTCCAAGCCTGGTCAATATAGTGCTAGGACAGCTGCCTACTGTGCTAAGTAATGTGTCCTTACTGTCTGTGTACTCCCACATCAGTTTCCCACTGTTTTCTCTGCTGATTTCTCCTTTTCTAAGTGAGTAGCAATTTGATGCAGGGTTTGCCCTGCTGCACAGACCAGCACAGCCAGTTCTATTGCATTTGAGATGACAGTGTGCTCAGGAAATGTGACAGACCTCTCTACAGAACATGCTTGAACCTGTTGGCAAGGCTGCTGATGGTTTAAAGTGGCTTATTAACTTTTCATTGCACACATGATCAGTCTGGTAAAACAGGGGCCTGGTTCTCCACAGCAGGCACTTTGGAGGCAATGTTCTTCTGCAGCTTGCTAGGGAGGGCTTGGAGGCATGCAGTTGTTTCTCCTGACTTCAGATGTCTACAGTGTAGCTTTTACCATCTGAGCTGCCTATCCTAAAGAACTTCCCTATCACTGGGATTAAGTAGCCTGATATAAATGACTGCTGCTAGATATCTGTTTTAGAATTGGA